ATTATCTCTACTCAGATGCTCTGAAATTTTGTGATGTCTTAGTTTGGTGTGGTCTCTTTTCAAATTTGTTGTATCAAGTGCTCTATGGGCATTTTCATTATTAATTAAATTCATTTGTTTTCTTTTATCTCTATACCTGCCTCCTATCTCTCTGCCATACAAACTACCATTACGATATACAGGTTTTCCCCCTCTATCTTAAAGTTCATTTTACACCACTTCACTTTCATGAAAAACCCACATTAGTATCTATTTTTGATAACTGGAAAAAATCCAAAGAGCATTTTTGCTTTTACGAAATGGTAGTTGCTTCTTTGCTTTATACCATATTTGTTTACAGAAGGTCTCATAAGAATCCTCTACTTTCAATTCAACACCAAAAACATGCAACCCCAAAAAAATTTATTTAAAAATGGACAGAGGACCTGAACATTTATTGAAAGACGGACAGACATATGAAAAGATGTTCAACATCAGTAAAAACAGAAATGAAAATCAAAAACACAATGAGATATCATATCACACTAGTAAGAATGGCTAGTAGCAAAAGGATAAGAAATATGTGTTGCCAAGGATGTAGAGAAAAGGAAACCTTCAGGCAGTGTTGGTGGGAATGTAAGTTTTACCAACCACTGTGGAAACCTGTATGGAGGGTCCTCAAAATATTAAAAATAGAAATAAATACCATATGATCTATTGATGCCACTACTAGATACTTATCCACAGAAAACAAAAATACTAATTTTAAAAAACATAAGCAACTCTATGTTTACTACAGAACTATTTGCAATAGCAAAGATATGGAAGCAACTCATGTCCATCCAGAGAGAAATAGATAAAGAAAATGTAGGGGCAGCCCGGCTGGCTCGGCGGTTTAGCACCTGCCTTCAGCCCAGCCCAGGGTGTGATCCTGGAATCCCTGGATTGAGTCCCACATCGGGCTCCCTGCATGGAGCCTCCTCCTCCCTCTGCCTGTGTCTCTGCCTCTCTCTCTCTCTCTCTCTGTTTCTCAATAAATAAATAAAAATCTAAAAAAAGTGTGGTATACACAGATAATGGAATATTACTAGGACATACAAAGAATAAGATCTTGCCATTTGTGACAACATAGATGGACCTAGAGGGTATTATACTAAGTGAAGTGAGACAGAGAAAGACAAATATCATGTTATTTCACTTATATGTGGAATACAAAAAGAAATAAATGAACAAACAAACAAAAACCATATTCTTAAATACAGAGCACTGGTGGTTGCCAGAGAGGGCAGGGGAGTAGGGGGATGGGCAAAATAGATAAAAAGATTAAGAGTTCCAAACTTCAAGTTATAAAATAAACATGAAGCCAAATAGTACAGTTTAGGGAATATAATCAATAATATTGTAATAATCTTGTACGGTAACAGATGGTGACTATACTTATCATGGTAAGTAAGCACCAGGTAATGTATAGAATTGTCAAATCAATAGACTGTACATATGAAACTGATTTAACATTGCATGTTAATTATATTTCAATAAAAAACAAAGAATACTTTCAGATAGCAAGAGAAGCTTGTATTCAATGTATAGATTTTATTTGAATGTATTCTTATAAACTATGTATTGTGTGTGCATATATTTTTTATTTATGTAGATGGTATTTATTTCTTGTTTTCACTAAACTCTATGCTTTTAAGATACTCTGTGTTGTCACGTGTACATGGTATTTGTTGCTCCTGACTGCTGCACAGTATGTCACGGTATGCATCCAACAGTTTACCTGTCCACCTTCCCAATTATGGATGCCCAGGTTCTCTCCAACTCCACATCTCCAAAAACCAATGCTGGAAAGAATGTCCTTGCACATGTTTCAACAGAACTTTCACTCTGACAATCTGTGTTTATTGATTCTGGAAATATTTTTAGTATTTTTCTTTGTAAATTTCTCCCTATTTCCCTGTTCTCTTTATGGAACTCATTAGTTGAACGTTGGACCAACTCTTTGATTTTCTTGTTTTTGCTCTACTTTCTAGGCAATTTAATTAATTTTATATTCCAAACACTTACTACCTCATTATTTTCATTACGTTTACATTTTTTACATTAATTCATGTTACATTAATGTAAATTTTACATTATTTTACATTAATTTTCAAAGCTCTTCTGAATGGTTAAATGTTCTTTTTTTTACACAGCAATGTTATTTTGTGGATAAAATTATTTCTCTTCGATCTCTGCTGGCATCAATTATGTTTTTTAAGAGTTATCTTGTGCTCCCTGCATCATTCATATTCTCTCAAATTTATTTTTTCTATATATCACTTTTTTGTCTTTTGTTTTAGACATTTTCTTCAAATGCTGATAATCCCTAGTTGTGCATTAATATTTAAGAGCAAGACTCAAAAGAATTATTGGGAACTCTTATGTTTATGGTAGAGCTTGCAGAATGATGAGTGTAGTGGGTTGAATGCCCCTGCCAAAAACAAACAAAACAAAACAAAAAAGTCCACATTCTAATTCCTGGTTCCTATGAATGTTACCTTATTTGGAAAAAGAGTCCTTGCCATTGTAATTAAGGGTCTTGAGAAGAAGTCATCCTGGGATATACAAGTGACCCTAAATCCAAGGACAAGTATCCTATAAGAGGCCCAGGGAGAATTTTAGACAAAAAAAGAAAGAGGTAATGTGACCACAGAGACAGAGACCAGGGTAACACAGCCACTAGCCAACAAAACCAGTGACTGGGGGATCCCTGGGTGGCGCAGCGGTTTGGCGCCTGCCTTTGGCCCAGGGCGCGATCCTGGAGACCCGGGATCGAAACCCACATCGGGCTCCTGGTGCATGGAGCCTGCTTCTCCCTCTGCCTGTGTCTCTGCGCCTCTCTCTCTCTCTCTCTGACTATCATTAAAAAAAAAAAATTTAAAAAAAAAAAACAGTGACTGGAAGAGGAAGGAAATAAATTCTTCCCTCAAGTCCTTGGAGGGAGTAATGCCCTGTCAGATTTTGGACCTCTAGCCTCCAGAACTGTGAGAGATTTAATTTCTTTCACAGTGTGAAGCCACCTAGTTGCATTAATTTGTTGCAGCAGCCAAAGGAAATTAACAGGAGCCTCACTGAGGGTGATGGGTGGGACCCATTTCTCTGACCATCTTCAGATATCAGTATACATAAAATTCTTCTCTTAAGATGGACAGTTCCCCACAGAGTAATTCTAACCCTTACCAGATTGATCCACTTCTGGGAATCAAGAGTAGATGTGGCTAGAAGCATGATGTACAGTTTGTGAACTTGCACTGCAACATAGCAACCCTACTCTCAAAAGCACCTGATGTTACCATTTCAAGTTTCTGATTCAGCCTCTACTGAGGAAGTCTTCTGACTTTGGCTGGAGTGAGGGGCTGGGTGGGGCAGATACCTGTCAGAAGAGTTTGGGGGTAGTGATCTAGGGTGTCAGGCAGAGGGCATCTAAGTATTCCTTACAAGGACTTCTGAACAATCCTCTTGTTTTTAGCGCCACCCATACCTCATCTCTCAGACATACCTGTGGCCTTGAATTCCCAAACCTTTCCAGGACTGTGGAAGTTTCTGAAGGACAATCATTGCGCTTTTTTATTGTCACTCCTCACCAAAGGCAATTAAATCTCAGCTTTCGCACAATTAGATCAGCTACCATTTACTCTCTGCCTTCAAAACTTTTGTTGACATCTCTCATCTGTCATCATTTCCTCTCCTGTTCTGTCATTCTGCCCTTCTGAAAATTTATTTACTCTGTTAGTAGAGTTTCAAGACATGATGAACTTGGTTCAATCTGCTAAGTTGAAACAGAAGCACTACCATCTAATTTGCACTTGAAGAACTTATGCTACTCAAAGAAGAAATTAGGTTCTGTTTTGCTTAGAAAAATGTAAGATTCTCTAAAGTGGACCCCTGATGTAGCCCTATTCTATACTTTTCTTTTCCCAAAGTAAAATTTCTGCTCTAGATAGGTTAGGTTGCACAACAATCTTTTCTCATTGCAAGATTAATCCCATTTCTTCAATTTTGCTTATGGTGTGGTGCTCTCCTTCCTGGAATGCTCATTCACATATATTCTATTTTATCTTATTACATATTATACATATACCCAAGCAAAACTTCAATCCTTCATGAAGTGATTCCTGATAACTTCAGACTATATAGATGATCTATATCTTATATTAGTCAGTAAGACTCCCACTCCCTGCGTCAAGTGTTTGTGTTGTCTTGTCTATAAAACACAATTTTCTTTTTTAAAAGATTTTATTTATTTATTTATTTATTTGAGAGAGAGAGAGAGAGAGAGAGAGAGAGAGAGAGAGAGAAATGAGTGGGTGGGGAGGGAGAGGGAGAGAGAATCCCAAACAGACTCCATGCTGAGCATGGAGCCCAGTGCGGGGCTTGATTTCATGACCTTGAGATCATGACCTGACCTGAAGTCAAGAGTCAGACACTTAACCGATTGGGCCACCCAGGTGCCCCCCAAAATATAATTTTCTCAAGGGCAGGGACCATGCTTTAGACTTTGTATGCTCTCTGCAATAGTTACCATGGCACAGGACACAGAGTACTTGCTGCCTGATGTACACTAATCCAAGCTACAAATATGGGATTGGATATTCAATACATGATAGAATAATCATCTTTGAGGGTAAAGACTACATCTTATTCAACTTTATATTCTAACAACCAGCACAGTGTTTGACAAAGACAGACTATGATTGTTAAATGACTGAATGAGAGGAAGTATGGATAAATGAACTCTCACTAGATATCATGTTCAATGCTCTACATGGTTGAAATATTTTTTCACTCATACGAAAAATAAACATGATTAGAACAATATTCACTACTGCATATACAGCATCTCAAATAGGACTTGGCACACTGGGGCTGTGCAGTAGATGTCTCCTAAATGAACATTAAATGAATGAATTGGTGGGTAGTCAGGAGCATGAGTTCACAGTTGGAAAGAAGTTCAGAGGACAGAGGAACATCTGGCTTACCCGGAAAGCACTCCCAGAACTAGGTTGAGAACAAAGAAGGATCCAATGATGATGAGGGGGATGAAGTACAGCCAGTTCCAGGTGGCTCCTAAGGCATCATTGGTCTGAAAAACAGAAAAATGGCTCCTTAATATTTTACCAAAACCATCTGCCAGAAGAAGGCCTCCATCCCTGAAACCTCACATATAGGGTGAAATAACAACACAGGGCAATACAATTAAACACTGCCTACTTCATTCTCAATTTAGTGTTACTGTGGATTAACTCATATTCCACATGTACATAGTAAAGAACACTGCATGAGCCTCACACAACATCCTTAGTAGGAATAGTCAACACCCTCACCTAACAGCTGAGATAATGGAGTCTAGAGAGGTCAAGTACTCTTCCAAGATCATGCAAACAATTACTGGTTTTATAGTGTTTGGTGATGTCAGTTCTAAGCTTCTGCAGTCAAAATTGGACAAATTTTCAAAAACTCAGAGGCAATCTGTGTCCATCACTCTATTCCACGGATGCTGACAAAAACCTTGACAGGACTGCTGGGGAGACATTAGCATTGTCCACATCTTGCTCAGCCCTTGACCCTTGGCTCTGGCTTTCTTTCTTCCATTATAGTCCAATAGTATAGAGCTGGCTCAGATTTGGCCCCAGCAAGGCTCTGGACAGGACAGAAATAAATCTAAAGAGTGATCCTTTTTACTCTCTCTAATGCTAACACACAATGAAGTGAAAAGTGCTTGGAAATCCATATTCTGGATTCTTATACTGCAAGTGAGATGCAAGGCCCTTAAACGGTGGGGGGTTGGGGCAGATTATACCACTTGGCTTAGCAAAAGCAGCAACTCTTAGCAGGATGTCTTATTAGGACCTAGAAACAGTTTGGGAGCATTTTGAAAAGTCTTCTCTAACACTTGAGCCTCTCAACTAAACTTCACCTTGACTCTCTCTCCCAATAATGTCAACCCCAAATCTTTCTAAATAGTCTCCTTGAACTGCATTTTGTACATGCAGGGCTTTGAAATCTCCTCATCCCCACACTGGCCCCTCACACGCAAACTTTAATTCTCATTTGAAACAGTTAAGAGGTATTTTATTTTCAATTCACCGGAGAAACAAGGCCATCAAACCCAAATGCCATGCCTAAAATTCACGGGCTAAATCAGTAACATTAAGATCTAAACTCAGAATTTCTATGGCAAAGTGCTTCTCTGTCCCTGTGATTTACCTTTTTCTCCCTCTCACTACTAAACTTTGCAAACATATTTTGATTCATTGTCCTTATGCTTCCTGTGGACTTCTAGGACATTCTATCTTTTCTCTCAAAATTATTTAATTTTCTTTCTGCCTCCTATTCAACTATGTCAGGCCACAGAATACAGCTCCCCACTGATCACAAAAGCTATCACTGCATAGTGGATTCTGCCATTAAAAATAGCTTTTAAGGCAACCTCTTTCACCAAACCTGTGCCTTTTGTTTTGCCCCCACACTGTTCAGAGACAGATGATTGCAAATGAAGAACAGAAGTTAAAAACAAACACCTTCTGAACTGGATGGGACGAATGTGGGGATCTGCCAGTTTCAGCGTGTAAGATCTAACTCTTTCATTCAACCAGGTCTGGTCACAATCAAATGCAAGCAGAGAAGATGCGGACCAGACCTCAGAGAAAACGTCTCTTGATTATCAGAAAGAAGATGCAGAAGAACAGATGTTGAAGGCCAGCCTCAAGGGATTTTAATGAACTTAGGAAACGATTTTTTTCTGAGACAGTTAAGACATGGTCCTCCCTGTAAGCTTAAGGATGGATTATATGACCCGTGTATAAATAGCTCTATCTTTATTCATGATTACAAAGGCAACATTTTGTAAAGACTGGTTAGCTTGGACAGCTCACCAGTGGTGCACCAGACTGACAAGTTTCATCTACTATATGGCTTAGCCAGTGCCCCCTCCCCACCAAGTATTCTTTGGGAGCAAGGACGGAGTCTGGTCCCAGCACCCAGATCGGGGCTCAGCTGCCAATACACCTTAGCTGGTGCCAGCGACAGGAATGATGAAATCGTGCCGTGAAGGTATCTTTGGTCCCAGGAGTGACTGAGCTACAGTTTGAGGATGGCTAGAGCAATTTCAGTTGGGGGATGATTTGCCAGAGATGCTGTAGAGTGAAGAGCATTTCCCAAATAGTGTTCTTCTCATTGCTAGTCATCTGTAAGATGTTAATGTGTTCCGTGGAAAATAAGCTTCTGTAACCAAAGAAACTGAGGAAACACAACAGATTAAATTTTCCCCATAGCCTGTGAGAAGACTCATGAAAGAAACATTATTAACTTTAATATCATTTCATATACTTCCTTGATTATGAAACTCCCTGTTTTGAAGCAAATCTATTAACATATGAGGAAATACAGCCTATGGAATGCAGGGATAAAAGGACTCTCCTCATGGGCCTAACGTCTGGAACACACTTCCCAATTCTTCCAGAAAAAAACATTGACAGACAGTATCTCCTTATCCACGTGTTGTGTGAATGCTTTGGCTTTGGTTTAACACACCTTAAGGCAAGAACCTTAATTGTCTGTTCATTTCTCTACCTGGTACCTAATGAAGTGATTGGCACACATAATATTTGGCTCAACTAATCAACAGGCCACAATTTGAATAAGAGGATTCCTGTACTTAAAATGTAAGCCCCCCACCCCGCAATTTTTCATTCTGATACTCCCCTCCAGCTTTGTCTGAATTGTTTTTTTTTTTTTTTTTAAGAAAAAATGTCATCCAGTATGGCACTAGGCCCTGTTTGATGAGAAAAAGAGGAGGAAGGGGAAGAGAAGAAGAGAGACCGGGAAGACACCACGGCCAGAGGCACCATGCCCTGCCGGGTGATTACAGATAGCTGATGGCTTAAAGGTTCCTTTGGAGAAGGCAGCTTGACAGCTCTCTGAGATTATTCACAAACCTTTTAATAGACTTGCCACACCCTCTCTACACCTTTCTCCTCTCCCTCCTGGTTCTTCTCTTCCTATCCTTCCCTACCAGGAGGCCTCACCCTCACCTCACAGGACTGTCAATGGATCAGTGACAAATCCAGTAGGACAAGGGGACATACCTCAGCAGGAAGTGGGCAAAGGGCTTCACATTTTCCTCCTCCAAAATGGCAAGGTGCTTTCTGATGCTAATTAGAACTTCAATCTCCTTCTGACTCATCATTAGGAAAACCTTAAAATTGTCCAGTGTAGGAGAGACGACTACTAAAGTGTCTTTTGAGACTAAAAGAGAAGAAAGTAATCGACAAGTCTCAAGTGAGCAAGTGCCCTGAAACCACGGGAGGTGGGAGTCAGGACCACCAAGGACAGTTGCCAGGGCGACCTCAGAGTTGAGACTGTGTTTTCTCTCAGGTGTCTATGTGTCTGTGTCACAGCAGGAGGGGGAAGAGAGGAGGAATACCGAGGTGAGGAGGAGACGTTCTCTGCTGCTTTCTCCAAACCCCTCTGCTTCTGTGACTCTGAGAAGCTGCATGTGGGACCATCACACTCTACTTTCCCCAGCAACTCTTCCTTCAGGAATAGAGGGCAGCCACGCTGAGTGCTCTGAGCAAGATCCCGGGGAAAGAGACCCACAGTCTTTAGAACATGTTCTGCTGGATTCTGGCCCGAGTCTCACAACGGAACCTCCCCTACCCAGATGGCTGCTGTGGAGCAACTAAGTATAAACCAGGCTCCTCCCTTCAGAGATGGGTCTGCAAGCCGTGCCAGTGTCTTCATGCCCCACCACTCATGGAACACCTACTCGTTGTCAGCCATTACACAGAAGAGTGTTTTTCTCCAGGGCAACATCCTCTTAGTTAAGGCACTGATCATCCTTCCACCCAACCCAGCCAGGCCCCTCGACTGGCAGGCTGGCTGCTCTCCATCTCTCTCACTTGCTGATTCCCTGAGTGACACACACGTACACGTGTGCATGATGGGGGTAATGACAGAGAAAGCAGTCGGGGGTGGCAGCCCACCTGCACAGGGAGTGCTCAGCAGGTACCAGTCCTGACACCGTGAAATGTGTTCCTTTGGGAACCTGCCTGGCTGGGGGTGGTGAATGCACCCACTCCCTGCGTAAACAGGCACACATGGCAATTATCACATTAATCTCTGGAGGACTGGGGGAAATGGTAGAAGGTGGGGTGGGAGGAACAGGATTGAAGAGAAAGATGAGGATGGAGACAGAAAGATGAAGGTGGGGGGGTCTTGTGATTCTTCTGGACTGAAGCTGTATCTATTAGGTTTCTAACAAGGTTCCATGGGGCTCTGTAAAAAATGACAAAGAGCCTCTTCTATGTATATACCTTGCACAGAGCAAATCTGACCAAGAAAGCTAAATGAGCTGGGACAGGGGAAAAGGAGGATACTGATTCTAGGGTTCTTTCAGGAAAAAAGGCTATCTCGGACACACCTGCTTCCCAGGCTGGAGACAGCCTCTGCTGGCAAGCCTGGACTGGCCTATAGCTGGGTTTCTCAGCCAGGGCACTATTAGCATCTTGGGCTGGATAATTCTTTGTCATAAGGTAACCCTGGATAATTCTGTCCAGTGTGGTGCATTTGCAGGATCCCTAGCTTCTACTCACTAGATGCCAGTAGCACTCCCCCACCTGTAACAACCAAAGGTATTTCTGGAATTGTCAAAAGTCCTGAGGGGTAAAAGCAATTTCTAGTTGAGAACCACAGGCTGAGAGGCTCTGTCCCAAGAAGAGTTCTTTCGGAATCACCAACTGATCTCACTCAGGTCAAGACATGGTTGCATCCACCACCCTAGACTGCCAAAAAGACCAGGCATCCATCTCAGTAAAAGCATCCATCCACGACCTCTGCTAACCACCCCAGGAAGAGAAAGTTCAGGGAGGACAAGCATGGGGAAGGAGAGAGACAGAAGCCAAAGGCCAACTCCAGCAAATACCACGTTTCCTAAAGGCGGCACACCAGGTGTTCCCCAGCTGATGGCCCCTCCTTGCCTCTGCTGCATTCCAGCACCCGAGGGTGACAGCTATTCTTCCACCCTGAGGGACCTGGAATTCATGTTTGCAAGCTGAAATGCCATATTTTGTTCAACAGATTTGT